TCCAAAAGAATAACAAACAGGTAGTCAGTTTCTACAATGAAATTAAATTGTATACTTAACAGATGTTAAGAACCTTTTGGGGGGGGGGTTACGATAAATGAGAATGAGATAAATGAGAACTCAGTTTTTTCAGGTTGCTAAATAATGGGCAAAAATCCATCCTTTAGTTCAGGCATATCAAACTCATGATGTCACATGGCGTGGCACGACGTATTGCGACTTTTTCCCTGTTGCCGGCAATGGGGTGGCGCAGGTTCAGTATGATGCATCTGACCTGTGGGCAGGCAGTTTGACATGCCTGCTTTAGTTTCTTGAAAATTAAAAATGCCCACAAGCTTCCATTCTTCTGATTAGGACTGCACAATATTTTTGAAGATTGAGCTGTAATAAAGACTAATTTTCACAATTGTAAAATTCATACATTATTTATTTATTTTGTATGAAAGTTGATAGTATGTGATGGGAAGAGTTCTTACAACCTGAGATAATACAAATCAGACACAAAGAGATGTTTTTAATGAAGCAGGTTTACAAAAAATGTTTTTCTCAATTACAGCGTTAGTATTTCATTTCACGTGAAAAGTAAAATTATGACTTTATTAGCTATCTGATATTGCACAAATATAAGAAGGCTACAATAAATGAAACAAATATTCTGTAAATATATGTTATGGGCACTTATTCAAATGTTAGCGTTTTACTTGCTCATAATGAATTGCCCTGTGTCCTTTTATATATTCTCAGTCAAAAAACAAAAAAATTGAACCTCAAAGCTTGAACAAATCTTAAAAAAGCAAACAGCTTGTTCTTTCTAAAAGCTGTTAGTGTGCTAAGTAAAACTGTGAAAGTTTTTAAGAAAATTCAACTGGAAAATAATGACTTTATGGGTCTGTAATCAATGGTTTCTACTTCAAAAATCCATTTTGTGCATCTATTTTAATTAAGCTCATCCGTTAGAGTTTTTGAAGTACACTATCAAACTTCCTGGGACATTTCGTTTTGCACATATTTCACCTTTAAATTATACTTTTTTACAATTTTTGTACAGATTAAAGTAGGCAAAATATTGTCAAAGACTACAAAGCTCAGCATGCATTTCTCTTTATTTTAGCATGGATTCATACATTCATAGATCACAAACACATTTTCTACACCAGTATCTTTAAATAGCTTAATAGCTCAATGTGAAACATGCAAGAATCAGAAGAAAGTGAGTTTTTAATTTCAAATAGTTAAAAGTGACCAGTATCATTTCCCTTGTGTGTGTCTGTGTGTGTGTCTGTGTGTATAGTTTCCAATATAATATTATCTATCATGTTTGGCAGATAACACTATATTTTCTTCTAAATCATAAAAACAATTTTGCTCCAAAAATATTTATCAAAATAAAAAAATAATTTACATATATAAATATAGCGATATTTCTGATATTTGGAATAATTTGTGCTAATTTCCAGAATCTATATATGCCCTTAACATCCTGCATCTTATAACTTTTCCTGACTATTTTTTACTGAGAGTATATTAGTAAATATCAAAAAGTTCAAATAAAAAATAAAAGTTTATTTATTTAGGATATATTTTTTTAAAAAAAATCTCAAAACTCCTTTTGTTTTATTGGCTTTTGTAGTCAAATGTTTTATCTTTGTGTTATACTTTCTATAAAATATTACTAACTTTATATCAAAGTTGCTAATATTCTTATTATTTTCATAATTTTCAAATTAAATTGTTACAAATTAAATTTGTTGTTGTTAGTTGCGAAGTCATGTCCAACCCATCGCGATCCCATGGACAACGTTCCTCCAGGCCTTCCTGTCCTCTACCATCTTCTGGAGTCCATTTAAGCTCACTCCTACTGCTTTAGTGACTCTGTCTAGCCACCTCATTCTCTGTTGTCCCCTTCTATTGCCCTCAATCTTTCCCAGCATTAGGCTCTTCTCCAGTGAGTCCTTCCTTCTCATTAGGTGGAAATTAAATATAGTTTAGCTATTCAGTAGTTCCACAGATTTGAGTTGGTCTACTCTGGGTCCAAAACTAGATCCCAATTTATATAAATATGTTGTGGTTAGTTGCGAAGTCATTTCTGACTCATCGCGACCCCGTGGACTATGTTCCTCCAAGCCTTCCTGTCCTCTACCATCTTCTGGAGTCCATTTCAGCTCACACCTACTGCTCGACGAACATATGAGCTGATGCTTCTTTAAAAACACTGCACTTGATAACATAACAGCCCTGGGGGATCAAGCTAAGGCCCTTCATGATCCAATGTTTTGTTTTCACTATGATATTGAGGATATATTCATATCCTCTTAGTATTTAAAAGTGCAATGGAAATTGGGAGTCCATTTGAACTACGACACAAACTAATCAAGAAAAAGGTAATGTGGCTGTGGTGCTTAGAGTGGCTTATCCACACTGAAATATGGATGTACAACAGTATTCTACCCCATGGGTGACACCCACCCACCCACGTGGTCATTGGGACTTCCACATGCCACCCTCCATGTACTTAGAGGAGAGAGATATCCTGGAATGATCTCATCACAGGCTGCTACCACAGTTCTCCAGGATGGCACTCAGAACATTTCCACAGGCCCAAAAAGATGGGGAAGACAATTTTACTCATTATGCACATCAGTGTGAAGTGCCTGATGCTTGTCACAAAACCAAAACTCCAGCTTCTATGTTTCCATTCATCCCATTTCTCACACAACTGGCTGTGGAATTTTAGGGGTGCTTTAGAACCAGAGACCAGAACACTATATTAATTAAAACACAAATTGGTTTATTGACACTGCTGGAGGCAGAGACAAGCCTAAAGAAAAGTGGATTGGAGTCTGTTTTATAGATGTATGCATATTAAAATATAGCTAAAACAACCAGGTATTTTACTGGATATAACACATCATGTGTTGTGAAATCAGTAGATCAGATCTAGCTCTACTAGATGGACCAGAATCAGAAAATAAACTCTACAGAAAAAACAGAATTACACTTTTTTTGAGATAAGTTATAATAATAGAACCTTGCAAGTCTGGATGTGTTGATCCCGTTTCATATTCTATTGAATTGGGAAGGTATTTGCCTGAGCAGCTTCTGAATATTGTTTTCTAGGGTTTAAGGAATGTTTCAGTCCCCTTTGTCTGGGTAATGGTTACTGTATAATTCTGTCAAAGTCATCTTCCTTTACGCTATGAGGCCATTAAGGCAGCGTTTCCAGCTTTGCGGACTAGGAGGGGATGGTTTACACAAGCAGCTAGCAAGCACACGCACACAGCTCCATTTCCGAAACTGGTGTACATGTGCGCTTGCCATGCACACAAATGGAGCGCATACGCATGTGCTCACCCACTGCTCATTCAAGTGAGGATGCAAGGGCACGCATAACTATGAACTGATGAAGGAGGACTACAAAGACAATGGGATTTTGAAAGAACCAAGAGCTCGGTGAACAAACTTTCTTTGTTAGGAATTACTTTGTTTTTTCAGAACTCTACTTGCCCACCATCTTCCCCAGCATCTAAAGCATTCCTTGACCTACATTTTTAATGGCTGAGTTTTACTTTCCACAGAAAATATATTTGGCTTAGGGACTTTTAATTTGATCCCAAGAATTCTCCTTCAGAAACATGGTGCCACCAATTTGGAGGAATACTAAATCTTCAAATTCAAGAGTCATTGATAGATGTGTCTTCCACAAATACACTGAATCCCATTTAAAATTTATTGTAGTGGCCATCAAGATATCTTTTTTTAATCAGTTGGCAATGTATATAAAACAAACTTCACTTCATAGCTGCTAAATTTATTCAAAAGTCTCCACTGAGAAATTTGGTCAATGACTTTTTGAAAAATATATACAGTGTGTATAGGGTAGTTTGTTCCTCTGTGTGCAAAGATGTTTTCTTTGATGACAATGTCTATCAATTAACCATTTATTTATGCCTACAAGCATTTCCATGTGACTATGGATATTAACCTCCTCACTCAGATGAAAGTTTCGATCTGTCACAGTACATCCAGTTAGTAGAGCAAAATATGAAAATCTGAGCCAGTCTACCACCAAACAAACCCCCATCTACTGACACCACTCCTAATTGTAGACCATTTCAAATTATTTGTCTCATTGGTTTTTTTAAAAAAAAAGTTTTAATGCAGGATGAAATGATTGATTGAATTTACATGCTGCCAATCTTCTCAATAAGGCAACTTGGTGGCTTACAGATCACGTTTTAGTAATATTTTGAAACTTCCAGATTTTGTTAAAGATATTGAGAAAAGAAGTCCCTGTTATCAGCATAATTGGCCGAAAACATTTTTCTATCTGATATATTTGTTTGACTAATTTCACTGGAAAAGATGTCAGAGGTGATAATCACAGTTGAAAAGTTAGAGATTATTGATTTGAATCTAAACCTGCAGAACTGATGTACATCCTACAAAATAGATACTGACCTGCAAGAATTAAAAAGAAATACTCTTTCTCTGTCTTATCTGTACATCAAGGAAATGCTCCTTTAGGGAGGAACTTATTAGAAGTGTGCGAGTTTTCTCCTTATTGGAACTTGAAACTTGCCATCCTTTTTTTAAAAGGATACAAAGATATTTTTTTAAAAAACCTTAGGAAAACGTTCAGAACGGGAACATGGGTCATGAATATTATTTTCCATATAGCTGGCTGGCCCAAAATTCACTTTCCCTTTGCACCCTATAAAGAATTGTGTCGAAATTACAATAACATAACGTCCTAACAACTGAATGCCTAACGATTTGCTTTTTGCACTAGCGGTTCTGAAGTTTTTTCCAGTCCATCTTTACTGATACGGTTTGAGCGGCGAACCACTGTCAATAGCTTCGTAATTAATACTGCAGCAAAAGCCACGTTCTGCAGAAGGAGCCGCGAGCAGGAATAACACATCAGGAAGCCTTGGCGTATAAAGAAGCCCGCCTTCGAGCATCTGAACTACAGTTCCCATGATGCCCTTCTTTCAGCTCTGACGCCGCGAAGGGGATGTCGGAATAGCTTCCCGTGAGAGAGGTCGCGAGGACTGGTTGGGGAGGAGGTTTGCAGCCGTGGCCTCGACACTGTGAGAGGTCGCCGGGATGGACGAGGACGGGTTGCCGCTCGTAGGTTCGGGCATCGACCTGACCAAGGTACTGGCGCCTCGGCCTGGTCTTCCGCATGCGTTCGGCGACTCCTGCCTGTGCCGAAAGGCCGCTTCCACAGCTGCCCCTTCCAGCTTGCGTCGGGTGGGGAAGAGGAAGAACCAGGCAAGGGGCTCTTCCTGTAAAAATCAGCTGCTGGGGGTTCGCTGCCCGGCTCCCCCATCCCGTTAAAAGGGCCCCTCCCGGGAGTAAGATTTCAGAGCAGGCCCACAAAGATGTTGAGACTCTTTCTAGAAAGAGTACAGAGAAGAGCTACAAAGATGATTAGGGGACTGGAGGCTAAAACATAAAAGAAACGGTTAGTAGAATTGGGTATGTCTAGTTTAACGAAGAGAAGGACAAGGGGAGACATGATAGCAGTGTTCCAATGTCTCAGGGGCTGCCACAAAGAAGAGGGAGTCAAGCTATTCTCCAAAGTGCCTGAAGGCAGGACAAGAAGCAATGGATGGAAACTAAACAAGGAGAGAAGCAACCTAGAACTAAGAAATTTCCTGACAGAACAATTAATCAGTGGAACAACCTGCCTCCAGAAGCGGTGAATGCTCCAACACTGGAAGTTTTTAAGAAGAGACTGGACAGCCATTTGTCTGGAATGGTATAGGGTTTCCTGCCTGAGCAGGGGGTTGGACTAGAAGACCTCCAAGGCCCCTTCCAACTCTGTTATTCTATTCCAGTGGTTCTCAATCTGTGGGTCGGGACCCCATTTGGGGTCAAATGACATTTCACGGGGGTCGCCAAACAACGCAGTCTGCCATTTTTTCCCCCTTTTCCTTAGCTGTGCTACTCCCTTTTATTCTATTGGCTTTTGAAAGCCAATAGAATAGACTCTCTTGAATAGAGTCTAATTCTATTGGCTTTCAAAAGCCCATAGGAATTGTCCAGGCTGTCTTTGCCCTGCTGAGCCCGCCAAAAGTCCCATTCTGCAAACGGTGCTGCACCAGTTGAGTAGTCCTCGACTTACGAGTGGTTGAGTGGTCCTCGACTTACGACCGGTTGGGGGTCGCGGCATTAAAAAGGTTGAGAACCACTGTTCTATTCTATTCTAAATGTGACAGAAAAACATTTCTGTCAGGGAAACCAGAAGCAAAAAATTTCTGATGAAGCAAAATCTGTAACAGCCTTGAATGGAGGCTGAAGGTTGAAAAGAGGACAGACACAAAGAGTCGTGATGGTTATTCTTCACAGTATTTTAGCTGTAATCATATATCCAGGTACAGGAGAGGAAACCTCCCTGAGTCATTTCTGAATGGATACACATGTAAATGCATTGATTTATTTTTTATGGGGCTCATATGCTACTCCAGTATTTTGATTCTGGATGATACAGGTAGTCCTTGACTTACGAACACAATTGAGCCCAAAGTTTACATTGCATTTGTTAAATGAGTTTTGCTCCATTTTACAACTTCCACAGTTGTTAAATGAATCACTGCAGGTATTAAGTTAGTAACACTGTTAAGTGAATCTAGCTTCCCCATTGACTTTGCTTGTCAGAAGGTTGCAAATGGGAATTACATGACCCGGAAACACTGCAAACATAAACATGAGTCCGTTGCCAAGTTAGGGTGAATTTTGATTGCATGACCACGGGGATGCTGAAATGGTTGTAAAAGTATGAAAAATGGTCGTAAGCCATTTTTTTCAGTCCTGTTGTAACTTGGAAAGGTCACTAAATGAACTGTTTAAAGTCAAGGACTACCTCTATATATACCTGTCATCTGTAAATCAGATTGAAACCATTTATTTTATTATATTAAGTTTATATGCCTTCAATCTCGTTGTTAAGGTGACTCTATATTATAACATTTTTTTAAAAAAATCATAAAATACCATAGCACTTATAGGATTATACTGCATTTACACACTGAGAACATGAATCAAGGAGCCATCTACTAGAAGAGAGAATAACATTACAATCTTCCAATACCCACAGCTGATGCAACAGTTTTCATAGTGTTCCTACATTCAAATAAAGTTTGAATAGGAAGAAGTTTCCACTATATATATTCACTGTAACTCATACCTTGATCATCTCCTGTTTGGATTGCTGCAATGTGCTCTATATGGGGCTGCCCTTGAAGACCACCCAGAAATTGCAGCTAGCCCAGAATGCAGTAGTGTGCAAAGTAACGAGGCAGGGGCTAGGTTTGCTCATGTAACACTTCTGTTGCACAAATTGTACTTGCTTCCAGTTTCTTTCCAAGTGCAATATAAAGAGCTAGTCACCATCTTTAAAGCCCTATATGGCCAGGTTAACTGTGAGTGCTTTCCCTAAGGATATGTCCATCCTGCCAGGTCAGATAGGATGGGCATAGTCCTAATCCCTTCCCTTAAACATTGTCATCTCATGATATCTCAAAGTGTACCTCTTTTATGGTAATCCCTTGCCCTATTTCTCCCCAAGTTCAGTTGGCCTCTACTCTCCTGGTCTTCCATAAAGCTTTGAAGACCTGACTTTTTTTCCCAAGCACTGGAATGAGTTGTGGCTGCACTTCAGAAATTTGATTTGACTCCAGGTTTTTGTTTTTAATGCATTTAGTCTTTTAGTTTTAAGATGGCTTTTATGGTGTTTTAACTTTTAATTGGGAGCCTTGATGGGTGGCTAAATAGTTTTTAATAGATGACTAAAATGTATAAGACAACTTTCCCAAATCTGGTGCTTTTCAGATATGCTAGGTACTAGTTCATATTGTCCAGTTAAATTGATTTGGTATGTATTTTATGCTAATCAAGCAAACAGCGGTGTAAGGAAACTTAACATAATGGGTAAACTTTAAAAAGTTTGAAACCCTTAAAGATGCTTTAGATTTAAATTAAACAAAGCCCACAAAATTTTCCCTGAATAGACAAATCTAAAAAAAATTTACAAAATTTTCACATTGAAAAGATCTTAGTGTTTAATTCTATGAAAGAAAAGAAATCCCAACATATATGGCAAGGGGAAAAAATCTTTGATAAGGCATTCAATTTGATTGATTAAGCGTTGTGTAATAAATATCTATTGTCAGTATAGTTGACTGATTTTTAAAACTGAGTTAATAAAAATAAATGAAATAAATGGTTTATTACTTATTTTTTATTAAAATGGTTGTTGCCAATTTTTGTAGAAAAGCTATGACGTGGGAAATTTTGTGTTAATGTTTTTTTTTTGCTTATATATTAATCATTTCTCTTGCAAAGGATATATTAGACATGCCAGATTAAAGTCAATGGCAGTTGTGGATTTTCAGTTTGACCATGAACAAATTCCTTACATTGTTTCTCATTAATTACAAAAGCAGTAAGAGATGTAGGATATGATTTTTAGCCTAATTCCTTCTCTGACAGCAGTCTATAAAAACAGTGTTGTGAAACTAATATATTTCCAAAATGTTTCCTGTGCCAATTTCAGAATCTGAGGTTTACAGCTTTTATTTATTCAGTGTCACTAATAAATAGTTTTGGCTTAAATTCAAAAGTTATTCACTTTTATTTTTTTAAACTTTTGACTGTCTCATTCTTGTCCTCTTCCATGTTTGCATGTACAGTTCTGGTAAAAGAGAATATGGTTATTCAGTTGCTGCAAAATTGACAAACTGCACATTTGGTATATACTTAGTTATAAGTTATAGTTATACTTTTATGCATCATGGAAGATTGCTTTGAAATAATACATTATCGCTCAAAGACTTGGCCAGTCTCAGAGTTTGAATGTAAATGTTTGATACTATATTTGTTTCGTATTAGAAATATATTTAAAAAGCTATTTTGGTGTAGTGGTTAAAACATCAGGCTAGAAACTGGGAGATCCTGAGTTCTAGTCTTACCTTGGGCATGAAGGCAGCTGGGTGACTTTGGGCTAGTCATTTCTCTCGGTCCTAGGAAGGAGGCAATGGCACACCACTTGTGAAAAATCTTGTCAAAAAAACAGCAGTGATTTTTCCATGTAATTAATTGATCTCTCTTCAGTATTGTATTTTTTCTATGTTTTGTTTTAATGCAGGTTCCAGCTATCCAACAAAAGAGAACAGTGGCGTTTCTAAACCAATTTGTGGTTCACACAGTTCAGTTCCTGAATCGATTTTCAACTATTTGTGAAGAGGTAATACATGCCATACTGTAACTTTCCAACAGTGTATACTACATTTCTCTATAATGCATGCTTGATACAGAAACTATTTCATTTCTCATTCTCTACCATAAAAAGGTTAAAAAATGGAGAGAAAGAATAATCTGCCAGTGGAAAACATGAAAATGTCTCTGTATTCAGAGTAGGCTTGCTAGGCTTTGGCATGCAATGTTTTGGGGAATATTTCTGGAAACTTGGTTTTCATCTTTTACTGCCTTAAACAAGAGGTAGTTATCACTTTTCATCACCATGTCACCATATTAATCTTTTTGGAGAAACAATACATTTTTATTTGTGGATATGAAAAATAAATGGAAACTTCAGAGTGTAAAGAGTTAATGTAGTTTTATGGGGGACTTTTTGTTAGAATTTTGACATTCTTTTAATGTGTTAATGTTACTTTGTCATATTCAGTGATATCTTGAAGTTTTTGTTTCTCTATAAACTCCAAATTGTCCAGGAATATTGTATTGCTTATCTGTACTTGTTATTAATTAAAAAGAATACTAAACCGTCAATAGGATTTTGCCTAGAAGCCTGTTGGGATTGTCTATTAAAACCTATTAGATAAATCACTATAAACCTTTTAAGGCTAATTAAGGGTATTCTAAATGTCCTGTGGTACAATCAGAATATTCAAGGATGCATAGATCAATAAGGGCTATCTGCAAGAGTTGACTGCTTTGAATTACAGTTGCTGAGTTAGTGTCTTTTAGTTAATCTTAAAAATATTTGTTAGCAAAGCTTGATAAAGAAGGATATATATATAATCATATGTCAATATGTAAAATGTGCAATCATGTTATTTGTTAATGGAATGATTATTAGCATAGTAGTATATTAAATCAGCTGAACATCACAATGTAATCAGTTATTTTAAACCATCTGCGTAATAGCACTTACAGGTTCATTGTCCAATATGTTTCATATTAGTCTCCAAAAGACAGAAGCTATAAGTTTGCTTTTCAGGGAGATGGATTGGGGTGAGGGAAAGAGCTAAATATTACTGGATGGAAAATGTGGAAGAGTTAAACGATACTGAGGAAATTGTTGAGTAATATTTCTCTTCCTTATTCCCAGAAATTGTCAGCACTTTCCCTCCGTATTCAGCAAATTGAGACTTTGCTCAATATTCTGGATGCAAAGGTTTGTTCCTGATATACCTCTTTTTATGTGGTAGTTTAAACATTCGTAAATATAATTTGTAGGGTACTGAGGGTAGATTTCATTTAGATCATGATTGTCTACAAACAAAAATGAACACATTTTTTCAGTATTAAGAAAAGTAAAGGAGAACAGATAGGAAATAGATACTTTCAGTAGCGCAAAGTGGAGGTAAAAATTTGGACATATGTAAAGTCTGACAGTACTAGCATCATGTAACTATATATTCTGAAAATTTCATAGAAGATAAATGTTTATCAGATGCTGTATTACTGATGAAAAGTTTGTATGCTCAATTGGTCTGTGATGTGCCCCGTCTTCAGTTATCTTCTGTGCCTGGCCTAGAAGATGAGATCTCAAACACCAGTGTTATGAATGGCTCTGTCTCACAAACGTTGGTGGATCCACAGACAACAAATGTATCACCTAACGTGGAGGTAAATTGGTTTTTCTAAAGCACAATATGACTGTATTCAAAAGTCAAGAAAATCAGAATTATTTGAAAATAACCAAATCATTGGTGCAAGCTGTTTGTCTACTCTCATTGGTTTTGAGAACTAGCCAAATAATCCAGAAATATCCATCCTTTGATTTGCTACCTTTAGCCTTGCTTCTCTTTAGATTCAAAAGATTAATGTCCTTTGACTCCAGTTTGACTTCTGGTGACTTAATAGACACTTGCCTAGTAAGTCCAATGGGAAAGTAGTTTGCCATTGCCTTTGTCTGGGATGCATCTTTCAGTTCCTCAGTGTCACCAACTGCCTTGGGGTGCACTAAGATCCCAAGTAGGTCCAACCCTGCATAGCTTTTTGCAGTCAGCCAAGCTTGACTAAATGTTATCTTAAAAAGTAATTCTTGATTCATAGGCATGGCTATTCAGGTTTGTATAACTGCTGCCCTGTCAGGAGGAGCCAAGCAGGACCAATCAAACTTCAAGTTGCTGGTAGAACTATAAAAAAAATTAACTTAATGTGATGTCCAAATATGGTAAAGTCCAAGGACATGTGACGACTGATATGCACTGTTTGTTGTATTGCAGACCAGTGTACCTGAGTTGGGGCAACAGAGGACAGATGGAACTGGTGAGAATGTCATCACTGTAGCAAAGGATACGCGTTATGCCAGATACCTCAAAATGGTTCAAGTGGTAAGTCACATTTATTTTACCAGGTTTTATCATAAACATTTGGGTTTCTATTCCCTGAAGCTTCCTTTAAACTAAAATTTGTCTTTTGAAGTTAATTGTGAATGTAGGTTGAATTTTACAAGTTTTTAGCATAGAAATTAGTATAGAAGTTGATTTTCTATACTAATTAATATAAGAGACATAAATATTGAGACATAATTTCCCTCTATGTCTCGCTGTTCTAAAAGCACAGTTATCCGTCATTACTAAAAATACGGACTTTTCATTGTGTGCCAAATATATATATACTGTATGCATGATCATGAATTACTCTATCCTGTTTAGTGTATAAAGAAATCTCTCCAATAGTTTCTGTAATTGTTTTAGTCCAACAGTGTTTATTTGTGATAGCCAACTTAAAAATCAGTTTAGCTTTAATTTTCTTACCATCAGTGCTGGCCATGGTTGTCCCAGAAAACCAGTTGCATTTCATTTATTCTATCACATATAATTTGCTTTTGACTCTTTTACTTGCTCACAAATGAACTCCTAGTGAAACAGACAAGCTTTGACTGAGCCAACGTTTTTCTTTTTAATGTCTTGTGATGCCGAAACATGTGCAAAATATGAGCAAGAGTTCAACTTGAATAAACTAATGTTTAAAATGTAAATAATTTGTAATCCTGGCAAAGTGAAACTAAATTGAACAAATAGGCATTTTTTTGTCTAATTCTGTATAAGTAATTTTATATATTGTAGATAATTGTAGATTTACAGATCCACCTCAACTACTGTTACTTATTTGCCCTATTTAGCTTCTGATCTGAGCATAGCCTCATCACAAAGCAGGTTAGAAATGTATGGTTTTGTTTTTTATAAAAATGGAGGTTTGTAAGACAGCTTTGCATTTAGTGCTACAGCTTGCAACTTTTCAGTATTGCCACGGCATTCTCCCAAATAGGATATGATGACAAAGCAATTTTTTCCGGAAGGGTTGACATGTATTTCCAAAGTCCCAAACTTCATACCAATAGTGATGATGCACATGGCATCCTGCTTTGCCACTCTGTGCAGTTTTCCTGGAAGCACACAGCTACCCCCTACAGCCATGGTGCAGTCCTGGGAGAAAAAATGACATTTGATTTAACAAGTTGTAGGCTTGTGAAGGCACCATGGACTCTGAAACATCTTTTGCTTTTGAAGCATTGTATATCTTGAAATGCAATATAGTATTATAGCTCTTTCAGTAGTGGTAAAAATCACAGGGAAATGTAAGTCTTTGTGATTGTACTTTTCCCGGATATACATGATGATATAAAGGAGGCCAGAGTTGTTCATTGGAGCAAATGGGTTTGTATTTGTATTTGTGTGTGTGTGATATAATCATATTTTCCTCAATGTAGAATCTCAAAGAAATAAATCTTTACATATTTTCTGAAGCTATGCTTTTTTACCTTGGTGCAATACAAATTGCTCTTATTTTTTAACTATTTATTTTTGAACTACAGCGTGTAGCCTTCCTGAAATTAAAATAGAACTGGCTACTTAAATGGGATGCGTGTATCCAACCGCTCCCATTGGATTAGGTTTCAATGCAAACCTTTCACATTTAGAAGGATTGTTAGGATATTCTGCCAGGCTCCTTTATTGTCTTACACCTTTTCCTCTGCATTTGGGGTAGCAAATATAATAAATATTGACCTATTTCAAATACAGGTAGTCCTCAACTTAATGACCACAATTGAGCCAAACGAAACATTTGTTAAGTGAGTTTTGCCCCATTTTACGACTTTTCTTGGCATAGTTGTCAGGTCCATATTTTGATAATGATTTGGAAGAAATGCTCTGGACTTCATACAATCCTAGTATTAATTTGCTAAAGAAATTCTAAGTCTTTTCAGGCTTCTGAATGAGCCTGAAAAAAAATATGCTGCTATTTGTGGGCATTCAGTATGAAGCAAAGAAATGCTCATATGAGGTCCCAAGTGCTTCTGAATCTTTTTCAAAGCAAGGAGAGCTCTAATAGTTTGACCACTGAGAAATGAATCTGATTCTAATCTAGTAACCAAAGAATTGGTTTTACTATAGTTCCAGTAAAAAGTTTGAAGCAATGTTGGTAATGGCAGATATTCGTGTGGAGCTGTTATCAAGATGGGTGCGATAAGTTCAAATGTTTGGTGTAAACTTCAGAATAAAAACAGAAGAGCTCTCTGTAGCAGTAACCAAGTCAACACAGAGCCTTAGGAAACAGAACTTTCCATTTCTAAATTGATACAGAATACAGTGGTTCTCTGTGTAAAGGTGGGTCTGGAAGTAAATGACCTTCCATTTGGAACAGTGTCTCCACCTGTTTCATAAATCTTAAACTAACCTTTAAGTAAGACCTAGAATATAATTTCCGTACATTAGTCATGTGATACAATTCCTTTTTTATTTAATTATCAGTCATGTTAGCATTATCTCTTTGATAAAATTATTGGCAAGTAAATAACTTTTGGTGTTTCATCTTACCCATTCCATCCTTCATATTATCCTTGACAGTTTCTGGGATTAAACATTTGATCTCTTCATTGTCAATTATTTTGACATTTCCATTCCTTGCAATAGGCATTTGATATTGGTCATTTTGATGTTCAGGAAGAAGCTGAATTTCTTGCTTTCTTCTTTAATCCTTTTGATCAGATTCAGGGCTTCTTTGGTTTCTGAGAGGAGTGTTGTGTCATCAGCATATTGCCACCCTCCTTGCTATATCTTGAATCAGTTCATATCTCCATATGTTATTTGCACAGTAGCTTCCTGATTTGTGTATAGCACCTGCTGCAATTTGACCCTCAACTTGTCATGCTCAACACAACCAAAGGCTTTCTTATAGTCAATAAAGCAGATTATAGATATTCTTTTGATATTCTTGAGACTTTCCCATGATCCAGTGTAGATTTGCAACATGAGTATGAGTTCTACAACCCCTTCTGAAGGCAGCTTGAATACCTGTTAATTCCCTTTTAATGGTTGGTGCCAGGCATTGTTGTGTGATCTTAAAGAAAATCTTGTTAGCTTGGTAAGATGATGGCAGTTGTGCAGTAGTTGGAGCAATCCTTGGAGTCACCCTTTTTTTGGCAATGGAATGAACACTGATAGTTTCCAATTCTGGAGCCATCTGTTTGGTGTTGAAAGTATCTTGCATATATGTATAATTAAAACATATTAAAATACTTGTTTTTATACATGTCTTATTTAACTATGCCAAGAAATCCTTGTAAGGCTTCCCCTCCTGCTTCAAAAAGTTATGTTGACCTTACTAATAAACCATTTTTTCCATGGTTATTTTCATGGTGGTATAATTTGAGATATCTGTTTAACAACATACATTTCATTAGAGAATTCTGAAATGACAATTTTCTTTAAAGTTCTTTCCTTTTACAATTTTGTGGGGAATTTTCAGCCTTAAATTTGTGATTCTCTTTCCCAGTAAAAATTGTGTACTGTTTACAAATGGAAAATGTTTACGTAATGATATCATGTAACATTTTCCATTTGTAAGACATAAGAAAGAAGTTCTGAATAACAGAGCACTGCCACCAACACAATTTAGTCTTTGTATTTCAGGTTACATTTTCCATATGGCAAACGGTGATTCCTAGTCATAAAAAAATGTGTGCTAACCATAATGACAACTCTGTAAATTACCACTCTTAAACTGCTGAGTTTAATTGTTTTTATTGGAGATAGCTAGTTTTATATTAGGCAAAGAACTCCAAATACAGATATGCAAGGGAAAATATTAATCATCACATCAGCATGGCTATTGCCATATTAGTCTTGACCACTCTATTGCTTTCCTCAGTGATACCAGTACAGAGAAACTTCTTTGAACAGTAAGTTTTTATTCCCTTCTTTTTAAAATATTGTACTTACCTTGGCCCAAAGTACTTGGGTTCCATGCCAAAACCAACCAAAATCAAGGTCTCTTACATCCTTTTCAGACCTCCAATAAACCTTGGAAATAAGACTTGCTTGCTTGCTTGCTTGCTGGCTTGCTTGCTGGCTTGCTTGCTTGCTTGCTTGTCAAAGGAATGTTCTATTTGAACTTTGTCAGCAGAAACATGGGAATAGCTTCTCTTGGAACATCTCTAGCAGAGATCTTGGATGTTGTGCTGTTTTCTGAGTTGAGCATCATTTTCTTAAGAAATTGTAGGGGAAAGCTAAATAAAAGTAGCTTATCAAAATTTCTTTGAGATAAATATGCTGTAAAATTAGTGAAAGTAATTGTTGAGAATAGTTGAACATTATATACTATCACTGATACAAGTTATATCTTTCTATTCAGTTTACCTTTGTAACATGAAAGGATACAGTAGTGATAATGTGTAACCTTCACATAAATACAAACACAAGAATGGTCTAGATCAGGGGTAGGCAACCTTGGCTCTTTTATGACTCGTGGACTTCAACTCCCAGAATTCCTGAGCCAGCCAAGGTTGCCTACACCTGGTCTAGATTGTCATCTAAATCAGGGGTCCCCAACCTGCGACCTGTGGCCCACTATCAGGCCGTGGCCTACTGGCCACTGGGCCGCAGAACAGGCTGGCCAGTGCGCACTCACCCCACTCATGCTAGTGCTGCTGCCACTATACAAACGGAGTGCTACGTGGCAAAAATAGGGCACCGCTGCTATGCAAACAGGGCAGTGGTGTGAAAACTGGGTGGTGCACGGTACAGAAACGGGGGGAACCAGGCAGTGCACAGCATGAAAATAGGCGGTGCGAAAACTGGGCGGCGTGCAGCATGAAAACTGCAAACCAGGCAGCACGTGGCATGAAAACCGGGCAGCGTGTGTTGTGAAAACCAGGAGGTGCACATTGCAAAAACCAGGCAGCAGGCAGTGCAAAGACCGGGTGACAGGCGGTATGAAAACCAGGTGGCAGGCGGTGTGAAAACTGGGCGGCAAGTGGTATGAAAACTGGGCGGCGCACAGCACGAAAATGGGATGATGCTAGCGCCCAAGCGACAAAACCAGCATGGTGCTAGCGAATGTCACATGGGTGCTAGCACCGCCCCATTTGCATTGCATGTGCTCGTGTCCCTGTTTATGCGCATGCGCACATAAAATGCTTCTCTCCCCCTTTGTCTCCGGGTCACCAACTGAGAAAGATTGGAGACCTCTGATTTAAATTTATGATTTAATGAGAAGCTAGAATTTTTTCCTACCAACTGCAACTAGCTAACTGTATTGGAAAAGATAGTTCCACTATGTGTCTTCTAGTATAGGTGCATTTCAGCTATGGAACACAAGATTATTCTGTCAGGTCATCTCTGCTTGGAATCTTGCTACTGCTGCTTACACAATCAAACTGGTTCCAGTGATGGCATGGCTTCTATTGTATTGTCACATCATTTGGAAAATAAAGTTCTGTGGGTTTTTTTTTTAAATGGTACCTTTGAACCATGTCTCATGGTGAAATAAACAATATTGTTCATTTGCTGTAAATATATCTTAGATGAATAAAAATACTGCTTCGTGACGCTTGGGAATACAAGTAGTATTCTGATTTGCATTGTGCCACTAAAATGATGGATTAAGTGATCCTTTCATCTTGTCTAACCTGGTGGCTTTCAGATCCCTAAGACTATTTAAAAAGGTTGAAATGATGGTAGGATCTTGGGAAGAAATTGGGTTGAATTTTGATCTATTACTTATTTGCAGCGTGGCCATTTCATACTGTCCTTTCTGCATTAGCTGTTTGATTTACCTTGGCTTCATTTCTGTGATCATCTTGCCAAATTCCAGCTGCTTTTACAGTGATATTTAATTTTGGCCCATGCAACAGATATAAGTAGTGCCTGAAAAGCAGTACTGAGCTTCTTGAAAGATTTACTTGAATGTATCCAATGTCTATCATACTGGGATTTTTTTTAAATTTAAGGCTAGTCTGTCCTTATGGATCCTGGAATAAATTGTTCAGAATTGTTTTTAAATGGAAAAGTATATCCCTTTTTTTTGTATGACTGGGTTCCATCATAGCTGCCATTAAACTCTAGCAGCATAAGCAACAGGTTGGACAGGATGCCTATAAATCAATCAAAATAAAATTTGTCATCGTTAATTGTATCCATCCGGGCCTTCTTTCTTAAAAGTTTGTATTGATGCTTATGTTTGGAGAAGAGCTCCTATGTTCTAAGCTTCTCGCTGTCTTTTTTTTTTCTTCCCTAGGGTGTTCCTGTTATGGCAATAAGAAACAAGATGATTTCTGAAGGATTAAACCCGGATCTTCTTGAGTAAGTAGCAATATCTGTTTTGCTTAAACATTATTTACATGGAACCTAAATGGAGCTGATGTTTGCATGTATTTTCCCAATTCCCAAGATTTCTCCTGAGATGATACAGTCCTCAGAAGAACAAAAGTTGTACAGCTGTGCCCAATTGGTTGAGAAATATTCTCTTGAATTATGTGGAAATAGGCATAGTAGTTTGAATTTATGAAGTGTTCTTGGAAGGCTCGGTGAGCCTGCCAACAGCTCTGTGAAATCAACCAGTGTTACCTCCTTATTGCAGAATTGTGAAGTCAACTGAAAGTTGACCTAAACTAAGCAAGATGTGAACTTGGCACCTTCCAATTTGCTTATTTAAGCCATTTCACAATACCAGTTATCTAGCCTTCCTGGATTTTTTTCCAGAGAAAAAAAACTTTTATATAATACTTCCCTCCACTGTGTCACCATATGTTTATGGCATAGCTCTACTACAGATGCTTTTCTTGCCTAGTGAGCATTTTATCAATTAATTTCATACAGTTGATGATTGTAGTTTAGGTGGTGACCTGGTTCACACAATATGCTGGATCATAATGTTATCTATTTGGCTTTAATTAGGCTTGTTTTTTTTTAATTTGTTATGTACAGCAACATTCCCCAACCTTTGCTGTTTGGTGGCCTGACTGGGAGGGGAAAGGGGAACTGTGCCATGTGAGCAATGGGCCGGTGCGCATACTCATGCAATTTGAGCTGTGTGCACGCACACATGTACTCTAGCAGCCACTCACGTGGCCCAATTCCAAATAGGCCACAGCTCAGTAGTGAGTCACGGCTCAGGGGTTGGGGACCCCCTGATGTACAGTATAACTACATTTATAATGTAATTTATAAATATGACTTAACATATTGTATGAGCCCAGGCTGTTATCCAATTTCTCAGGTCCAGAAGTCATTTTTGCACCTACACTAAAATTGTGGAAACCTTTTGGGAAAAGTGTACAGTAGAAATGCCACCTTTGGTTAAGCTTCCACCAATTTTTCTTCTAATTTCTTTATAACTGTAGCCTTGTTCACTTAATAATACTATTTTACCTTGCTTTCTAGGCAACCAGTCAACTCTTTGCACCATTACTTTAATTTTATTTCGTTTTACTAAATGAAAGAACACAAAAAACCCCAACCAACTTGATAGCAATCACATAACACACTGACAAATGTCCTCCTCTCAGCTTCAATACATGACATTAATAACTGAATCCTACTGTGATCTGATTGGCTCATTGCCAAAACAAGATGACACCTGATTGGCTCTCTAAACTCTCATGCTAATTTGCTACAATCAGATGAAGGAAAGCTACCTGATATCAACCTAAGCAAGTTGTGCTTCCTTTTTCTGGTTATTTGGCTATAACTTTTCATAGAATACAGTACAGATAATTGAACAAACTTTGTTGCATTACATTCTTGATTACATTATCTTTCCATTGATATATAATTTTATGGTACTACTTAAAAAAAAGTGGTGTTATTAGCCATCAAACCTCAAAGGTTTCCCCAATTTTGGCCACTATTGTATATGAAGCCACTTTTCTAGATTCCGAATGCCGGAGGATATAAAAGCTCACATTGTTGAGATATCTTTCCTTTTTGTTTCAGAACGCCAGAGGCTCCAGTGCCTGCATGGGGAGATGAGACAAATGCAGGAGAAAGTTCTGATAGTGAATCTTCATTTAGCGACTAATGGTGTTGTCCTTGATGGGAAAATGTTTCACTTTTCCTTAAAAGCACTGTCTAGTCTTTCTCTCTGTTAAATGCTGATGTACAAACTTGTAACATGCTTTCCTGAATTTCTTGAGCCATGTGAGGTATTCTCTAAAAGCAACAGCTTTGCACAGTAATACATTCATTTTGTATAGAATTTAGACTGAAAGCCCAGTTCAGTAAAACGGTCACATTGTGTAATTACATTACCTTATATAAGATGTGGTGTCTTTGACTTGGGTAAATGTTGCCCTAAGAATATTCAGGGTGAAGCTGAAGATGGGACTGGACTCAGATCTTTCCATCTAAATCAGTGTTTCTCAACCTTGACAATTTTAAGGCATGTGGACTTCAACTTCCAGAATTCCACAGCCAGCATTGCTGGCTGTGGAATTCTGGGAGTTGAATTCCACATGCCTTAAAATTGTCAAAGTTGAGAAACACTGATCTAAATAATGCCATCCTGCTTAACTTTTGATAGTACATAATCTTGTAAATTACAAGGATTATTTTTATGTTTATTCCTGGTAACTGTTCAGAATTCATTGAATGCTGATCCGTGTCTCCATGGTGTAGAATTCAAAGCACTATAGTCTGCCGTTGGGATAAGTGCGCACATTTTGTTTGTTCCATGATTTAAGAGTTGGAAATGGGAGTGACAGGAAGAAGGACTGAGGACAAAAGGGAATGCTGTCTGTTTGAAATGAACGGGCGTCATTTTGTTTTGGCAAGCCACTAGATGTTGTTATACAGCCTTTCATTTTTTTCTTAGAATATCCATTTGCCATCATTTGCAAATATAACCTTTGGATAGTAGCAGATTGTATCACTGTTATCCTGCCTGGCAAACCATATGTGGTCTTCCCTTGTTATAAAATTTTCTTCTTGAGAATTACAGTGAATTCAGTATATAGAAGATGTAAAATATATAAAAATGAATAAATTCTGAACACTGCTAGACCTAATTTCCTAACATTTCACGTGATAACAAAGTATTGATAAATTGAAGGAGAATTATAACTAAACAACCCACAACATTACATTATTTCAAAAGTCTGCCATTTGCTCATCAATCTTTTTCCAAAACCCGTTAGTCTTCTTATAGAGAAACTTAGTAAAGAATGATTAGAGAGGAGAGATATCTTTTTAGATTTTTTTTTAAAGAAAAAAATTACTAGGCCCCTTCATGTATTAAACAATGCATATATTTTCAGAGTTTGGCAAATTTGATCAATAATATTAACTTCACTAAAGACCATAATAGATTTTAAGTATTCTTTAAGTGTGCATATATGAACCACATTTTCACAACGTGCTAAACCTGAATCTGACAGAATGCCTTAAAATATAAGAAGCAAATATTTGACACACCCCGTCTCCAATATTTTATTGTGCTCTGTTTCTCCCAATAATAGAAAATGTTTTCACTATTGTTAATTATCTCTGAGCTGGAAGTCCTAATTAGTCATTTAAAATATATTCTGGCATTTGAAATGTACTTACAGATCCTAGTTTGTTTGAGAGTCTGGTTGAAATCTATCCTTATTCTCACCCCTCCTAATGCATTTCTGGCTACTGAAGTATCTTCTGTGATCAAGAGAAACCAAGAATGAACTGGTGTGCTGTAACGTGCATATGAACAAAATCCAAAATAGTTTATGGTTTGTGCGTTTATGTTTCTTCACGGGAACATTTAAACACAATGCATTACTATTGTTCCATTCCATCTGTCCTGATTTCTGTTAGCTATGACTTTTCTACTTGGAATAAAATAAATGTTATTAAAGCGTCCCTCAGACTGTCTTCCTGCATCACCCCGCCTAAATTTGTTTGAGGCCTACTAAACACATCCTCTATATAACAGAAGCCAAGATAGCCACTATATAGCAATAGTTCTGGCTCTGAACTGGAATCTCTTGCTAAATGGGTTGGGACAAAGCATCCCAGACCATTTAGTCTTGTCTGGAAGTGCTACCTGTTTCACAAAAGGTCAAGGCCTCTTGTTTCAGGAAACAAATCTAAGAGTATAATCTGTGATACATTTATATAAACTAATATGATTTGCTGCCTGATAAAATGCACATTATAACCTAAGGCAACTGGAACTTAACTTGGTATTTGAAAATAAGCATTTGTAATTAAAATTACATTTTGTAATTTAAAATGGTGGTCCTATTGCTACATGTAGATTTTCTTTGGAAATAACAAGCAAATAACTGGAGAGAAATTTAAATGCATAAATTGTATTGATAGTTCTCCAATAGTTATCAAATTATTAAAATGTAACTTATATGTAATATAGTAATACATGTACTTCTTTAATACCTTAAATCAGTAGCAAAGCAATAATTATGTTTAAAAGACAAGCAAGTTCCAATTAAATTTTATTTTTAAAAAAACATTTCAGGGTTAAGCTTTTATTTGGTCTCAGTAAGAAAACTGAATTTTTGAGTGAAATGCTACATTTGACTTAGAGGTTAGTAAAATAAAGTTGTAATTATTTTCCCATTCCCTGCCTGAAAATCTATCCATAAATTCCAGAGAAGAATCCCGGCTTTAGATCTATAGAGCCTCAAACAACCTACAACGGCCAAATTCATATTATTCATTTTCTTGGTAGATTATCCCATTTTGTGGGCGCACACAATCCATTGAATTGTATACTAGCCAAAAGGGATTGTGGCATATGTTCATACATGCTTAGTTTCTCTAAAAAAACCCGCAAAGCTTAAACATGTTGCACAATTGTATCCATTTGAATTTTAGCAGACCTGGTTCATCCTGTATATTACAACCTATTGCCAAAAAACCCCCCACAAATCTACAGTAATTCATACATAAACCCAAGTTTTTTTAAAAAAAACTCAGTTGGATATTGTAATGATTTTCCTAACTGAAACTGGAAAAACTGATTATTATAAAGAGAAAAGTTTTCCTGCTGAAAAATAACAATAAGAGTTCACTCTTATGCTATTTTTCAACAAAAAAACTTTTCTCTTTAGGTAATTGTACCAGGTTACCCAGGACACTTAAAAATTGTGCTGGAAAATAAATAACATTTTGCCTAAAAAAAGGTCTAATTGAGAATTAAAACCATGAATAACCCACCATAACAATCTGGAGAAAGTCTGCTGTTAGTTTTGCTTGCCTTTGCATAGAAAACAATGCTCACAAAGCAATTTCATGTCAGTAGTGGAGAAAATAAACTCTAGCTATCCTGGATTTTACTAGACCTATCCCACTAGCTTTAAACATGCTAGTCTTTGATTGTGAGAAGTGGAAAGTATAAGAGCCAAATGTATTTATTTGATTTGATTTGATTTTTATCCCACCTTTATTATTTTATAAGTAACTTGAACAGTGAATATACATAATACTCTTTCCTCCTTTTTTTTCTCACAACAACCCTGTGAAATGGGTTAGGCTGAGAGCACGTGACTTGTCCAAGTCTTTCATGAAAGCCCAAGACCAGCTTTCATGCCTAACGCAACACTAGAACTCACAGTCACACGGTTTCTAGGCCAGCACCTTAACCACTACACCAAACCAGCCAAACAAATGTGCAGAAGATCCTTTTTGTTGTATTTATTATCCACCAAATAGCCAAAGTTTTCTAGGATTGCTTAAAAACACTCTACTATATATATGTTATTTGTATAATTATAACATAATTCATATAAAGACTGCCTGAACAGAATGAAACATTTCCCCAAAATTCAAGAACAAAGCATGAAGGGCAACGTGAACAGAATTACCCACTTGCCAATTATCACGAAAGAAGGAAATGGCCTTTCCGACAGCTATTTAAGTAGAAATAAAAGTCCCTCCTGCATGCTATTGACCTCAAATATTTTTCAGTGCATTAATTTACACCATTGTTTTGGTACTTCATAACAATTACATTGCACTCTTCTTCCCTAATGGACCAAAATGATTTAAAAAGCACAAATATTACCAGATTGGCTATATCTTTCATTCAAGCTACAACAGGCCAAGATAAATTGAAAGTGAATATTTTTCCCTTCCATTTTTTTTTCTTTCAGCTAAGTAAGTTCATTAATTATAAAGATATTGAGAAGTCATCAGATTGCTTAAACTGCTTAGTTCAGGTTGGCACTATTAGAATCTTTCATGGAACCTTTGAATTGTTCAATGAAAGATCAAATGGGATTTTTTTTAAAAAAATACAGCATTATGAATTATTGAAAAAGTCTTTTACCATCTGTTGGAATGAGATTGGATGGATTTATATGAAGATTTAAAAATAAAAGATGTTAGGCATATTTTCCCCAAAATATCATTGATTACTTGACCTATGTTGGAATACGTGTGTAACAATTGGCCCAATTTATAAAGAATATTTTATACTCTCATAAAATTTATGTGAACTTTAACTGTTCATCCCCTCTCAAACTGGTAAATTTAGCACTCATGTAAAGCCAGAGAGTCTTTATCATTTTAACATATGGCATCTTCTAAGGAAAATTCAATACACTTGAATGCTTAATATTAAAAATATAGTATGAGAGGATTTTTTCTCAAGTTCAAATTTACAAATATGAATGGTGAATGACATCCCTATTTTTTTGCAGTAATTCCTTTATAGAATGTGATAAATACATCAGCAGTGCAACACTTACAGATGAGAAATAGCATGGATTTCTTTATCAATATAATTGGGTTGCAATCAAAATAATAAATCTGATGTAGTAACCTGTAATTATAGAGCAGAGCTATGTTTGAAAATTTCACATTTAATTTTGGTGCCTGAAGAGTAACTCCAAATGATTGGCCAATTAATCCATCCACATTGTACTTGATTAGATATTATTTAGTTGTACATATATACATGCAAACATTATGACAAGTGATTGACTTTGTAATAAATATCCATGGAAATGGAAATTGTGCTACATTCTTTGTGCCAAATTGAGAAGGTTCTGACTGTCACTTGTACAAGCACAGTTTGTTCAGGAAGGGGCTGTCCTAATACAATGCTGTTTGGCTGTTTGTTCCCCAAATGCATTTTTGATAAACACAACAACAGCACCTCAATAAATCAAAATGTGTCTGTTGGCTTTGTCTGTTGGTTCTTCCATATCTCAAAGGTATTAAGAAGTGCTAATATTTGCGGAAAACTTCATTAGACTTGTACCTGATTTGATAAAAAACTTGCTGAGGGATAAATGGAATTATGATTAGAGGCCCAATGGAGAATCATATTACATAAGAAAAACTTTAGCAAAATTTAGGAAAAGTCTCTCGGTGTTTATAATATAAGAGAAATAGCTGCTTTCTTCCATTTGATGGCCTCAGCTATGCTGGCTAGGAAGCTTGGGAATGAAAAACCACATCTAGAAATCTAGTTTATGGAAGTTTATTTTAAAAGCAGATATGAGGAAGCAATGCAATTCCAAACTATTGAAGTCCTAGTTGCCCTATGGTGAGGATTGTGGGAAGTCATAGCATGGTGATACTTTGAGGGCCATAGAATCTCCCTCCTGGATCAAGAGATTGATTTCAGGCCATGGTAATCACGGTAAATTAAATTTCATTTAAGCCTTCCCTCACCCTGTCACTTTAAAACAAGGGTAAAATGTGGGATTAGGTTACCTAAAACTTGCTGTGTGCATGTATGATTTTTGTCTTGTCACAATCTCATAACTCTTGTTTACAGTATTACAATGAAAACATAATCAAAAGAATCCCAAAACTGGGTGTGCAAAATGTATGTTTTTAGAAATAATGGTAATTTAAAGATACTATATCTCACCACAGGTAGGAAACTAGTCAGGGATATGAGTGCCAATTAAGTCTAGACTGCTCACTTTTAATGTGTTATTCTTTGATGTGGTGAAAAAGTGTCCCCAGAAATATGTGGTAAATTGACTCCTTACTGAGTTTGAATACACTAAATTCAAACTTTATTCCTGAAAAAGCCTCTCTCATATATCCCTTCTTATGTACCAATATAATAAGTGAAAATGAAACAGTTCTTTCATATTCAACCTTAGAGGACTCTGGATTCAGCTACAGGCTAATTTTGTATTACATTAGCTGTATTAGGAAGCATCTGCATTCTTTCCAAAGAAACTGATATATTAACTTACCCTTTATAGCAGTGTTTCTCAAGCTTAGCAATTTTAAGATGGATGGACTTCAACTCCCAGAATTCCCCAGCCAGCAAAGCTAGACTATGACCGGAAATTGTTTAATTTATTTTTTTAATCTTTTTCATTTCATATTATTGTACTTCCATGGTTTATTTTTATTGGTTTATCCTTTGCTATTGTTATGCTTACATTTTTAATCATTTTTTTTCTATTTTATTGTGCTAAGCCACCCAAAGTAGTCGTACGGCAAGATAGGTGGCAAAAATGTTTAACAAATAAATAAATACACCATGAATATTAACAACCCATCAAAATTTTCTTTTACTGGCGAACTCCTGAAGGAAGGGATGTTTCACTAAGGTTTACATCAGTGGTTCTCAAACTGTGGTCCATGGACCTCTGAAGGCCACAATGTCATCACAGGGTGTCCCCGAAAGCTTGAAGAAATGTTATGATTTAAATCTTGAGTTAAGTCTTGGTGGTCCATGGCCATAGTCTATGGCCACAAAAATATTTAAAAGGAGTCTTTGGTGAAGAAAAGGTTGAGAACCACTGGTTTACATTACCAGTATCGCTCCTTTCAAATCCTATCAGAGCACCTCCTTATGATTTTGCTGGCATCTAGACTAGGCATGGTTCAAAAACAATATATATTTCCATATACAGGAGTGTCTTGCAGAATAAAACCCATGACAGCACATGAGCTAAGAAGTAACATAATCTGAATGTTTAAAGAATGGTTAAGTTCAAGTAGGAAACCCAAACATGCTTTCCAAAAGGCAACTGGACTTTCGTTGTTTATTCCTTGAAGACATATTGCTTTTCATCCAAGAAGCTTCTTCAGAACTGAATGAGAATCTTCATAGACGTCAAGTAGGAAAGAAACCCAGAAGATTAAATGCACAGGCAGAAATATAACTGGGCTTTTTTTGTAAATGAGAGGACTGATCCAGAAGCTAATAGACCAGGGACAACCAAAAGGTTTGTCAGAAGCATAAGGGCAATGCTATAAGGCAGGGGTGTCAAACTGCTGGCCCGTGGGCCGGATGCATCATGCCAAAACCGCGCCTACCCCATTGCCGGCAATGGAAAAAAGTCGCGATATGTCATGATACGTCACGTGACATTGCCAGTTTGACACCCCTGCTATAAGGGACAAAGCAATACTTTTTTTTTTTTTACAGATTTCATGGTCAAAAGAAGGTAACTGCAGGTAGAAAACAATCTCTTGCTGAAATTCGGGGATTCTAAATAATCTGCTGTATGAGACACATTAAAGAACTGCT